TTTGAAATCGAGGGTTTCTGATGTAGAAATTGAGAGTTGGTAAGAAAGAAGAATTGTTGGGGGTAAAGATGGCTTCAGAGATGGGGAAATTTTGTTGTCCGTTACTTGACAGACATTGGAGAAAGTTCCATTCAGCAGAATAACAAGTAGACACCCATGGCGATAAAATTAAAATGACAGAGAAAAATGTGAGGACCGAGGAAGATGATGATGAACTCATCATTTCTTTAATGAAAAATAGAACGTTGGGAATTTTTTGAATTGTGGTTCCTTGTCTTGGGGGTGTTTATAAAGAGACGTGACGATGAAAAGACTGTATTCCAGCTAGGTAACCATTTTATTTTTTTGTTTTCCGTTATTTAAAATTTAGCTTATAATTTTGAAAGGTGAGCTGTTTTTTCTAATTTGTGATTCTGGTTTTTGTAGTTACCTTAATTGCGACATGTTTATAAATCTAGTGTGTTATGACAGATTATAGAGAGTTATTATTGGAGTTGCTTTGAAATAGACATTCTATGTTTCTTTTTTTGAGATGAAATAAACAAACAAGCACAATATCACACACACAACCATAGAAGAAACAAAGGAAAAAATAGAGTCCGTTTAAATGTGACTTGTAGAAGGTTATTTTAAACGTATTTTATACCATTTTCATTTCTTATTTCTTATTTTTTATTTCTCATTTCTAATTGTTTTTCATTTATAATTTTTGAGAAATACAATTATTTGATAAATGCTCTCTTGGTTTGAGAAAACTTCTATCATTGTTGATCTAAAAAAGTTCAGATTTTTTTTATTCAATTCTAAGATTTTAAAAGACCAAATATAATATTCCTTTTTTAGTACAACATGCGGAGGTGGGGGATCAAACTCATAAGCTCTGGTTGGAGATATATGTCAATTATCGTTAAAGCTATACTCGCTTTAGCACAAAATATAATATTCTTAAACAATGAGAAAAATAACACATCTTGTTTTTCTTTTTCCCTATTTTGTTACTTACCATAATTGTTGACATAAAAAAGAATGGTTTAGTATGAGATTAGTAAACCTTCTTTATAGATTAAATATTAATTTCTACATTCATATATATTTGTAATGTAATAATCCTGAGAAATACTGATAATAACAAAAAAAAAAAAACATCATACATGATTATAAGATTACTTTTAGGAGTCTAGACGAAACAAAGATTTTTGCATCGAGAAGGTCGTTATTGGTTGAATGTGATTGATCCTAGTATTCTTCTAAGTTGCTAGAGTCTAACTCTTATTGAGATGATTCATCAACATTTGTGAAGATTTCGTGCTGAGCAACTTAAACTAAGAAAAATCATACACTAATGTTGGTATTTTATAAAATGATTGTTGTGCTTCTAAGGTTTTTTTAACCTAATTCAATCAATATCACTTTTTAATATATTGAATCTCTTAAAATTCGTAGATAGACAATATTTTTTGTTCTTTTTAGAGAACAATTAGATAATAGAGAAAAGTTTGTACTTTCTACTTCGTATATATTATTAAAAAGAAAAAGAAAATACAAAATCGAGAAAAGTTTAAAATTTAAAATTTTTCATTCTTTCTAGAACAATCAGCCCCATATGTTACCTTATTAAAAATTAATGAATAAAATTATTCATTCCATTAATGTGACCCAACTATAATTGAAAAAACACATTGAAAAGAAAGATTCACATGTACTTAGAAATCATCCACTTTTCTAATTA